ACTTAAATGCAACAATCAATTTTGAGTTCTTTTGTAGTTTATTGTTGCCTAACTATTGTGATGAAGGCTCAATCAAGAGTTTCCCACAGGAGTTACTTAAATGCCGCCCGATAGAGCGGGTTTTAAGCTAGTAAATCAATAAATGTCAAAAGTTTCCTTATAAGGAAACAGCTATTATTACCATAAGAGATGAGAAGGACAGATACTACACTTAGTATATATTTGCCTCGGGTAGGTTGTGATACAAGGTATTTTTAATTGGTGGGAGCACGAGTGTGTGAAACCGGGCCAGGTTTAAAAACAGCCCAACCGTCGTTTGCTCTGGTATCGGTATTACTACTGATCCCTATCTCTTTATTGCACTGAGGGAGGGACAGCCACGGACAACTGTTCCCCGTGACCGGGCACCTCGCAGTAATAATATCTGTTGCGCTCTCTCTGAAGACAGAAACACAACTGAGAGTTGAAATGTAGTTTTACTGCCTCGGGCAGATACTACACTGTGATCCCAGCCGGACGGATAGTATTCACTACTGTATTTATAGGGCATACCCATTATTATCCATAGGTATGCTAGAACAGTTTTCTTATAAGGAACAGGCTAAGATTATCATGAGAGATGAGGTGAACAGATACAACACTTTGATCCCAGCCCGATAGCCAGGTAGTATAAAAAAATGTACCTCAATTAGTGCTGGTTGCTTGGTCAATGAATATCGAATGTTTTCTGAAAGGAAATATCTAATATAACCACTGTCATTAGAGATGAGGAGAACAGATACAACACTTTGATCCCAGCCCGATAGCCAGGTAGTATAAAAAAAATGTACCTCGATTCGTACTGGTTGCTTGGTCAATGAATATCGAATGTTTTCTGAAAGGAAATATCTAATATAACCACTGTCATTAGAGATGAGGAGAACAGATACAACACTTTGATCCCAGCCCGATAGCCAGGTAGTATGAAAAAATGTATCTCGATTAGTACTGGTTGCTTGGTCAATGAATATCGAATGTTTTCTGAAAGGAAATATCTAATATAACCACTGTCATTGGAGATGAGGAGAACAGATACAACACTTTGATCTTAGCCCGATGGCCAGGAAATGAAGAAAAGTGTGGTATTTACTCTGTATTTATTAGGACGAGATGTGACACAAGATCTATTTTTAGGTGGGGACCCGAGCGCGTACAACCGGGACAGGAACAAAAATTCTCGTCCGCCGACGGTTGCGATGGCCTCGGTGCGAGCACCGATCCTTCCCTCTGGTGCAATGGGAGGGCGCGGCCTCGGGCAGCTGTTCCCCAGGGCTGGGCACCTCTTCAGTTTTATTTTCCTCAGTTGCCTCTCCGTCCTTTGACAGAGAAGACCCTGAGCGCACTCTGCCCAAAGACAGTGACGCAACTGAGAGATGATAAGTAGACGTGTAACTACTCAAAAAAGAGTAATTTATGCGCTAAGAAAAGTGCAACTTCAGTAGCAGTGGTTGCTTGGTTATGAATTCTGAATGTTTCCAATTTACAGATTCTCCTAATGTATTTCCCAGATAAAAATAATTTGGCAGAAAGGACAGAAAAGTTTAGACGACGAGAACTTTGATCAGATTTAAAGTTAC